GGCGGTACTGCAATTCTGCATTTTCCAGGTTTCGTATAGCCAAAACGTTCATTAAGTCGTCCATTACTATTATTATTATAAAAAATAAATTATTATTGTTATACCTAAACTTAACTACAAAGTTTACTATAAAACCTAATAAATAAATGTAGCACAACTGACAAATCAAATGAACAGAACAGCATGAGAACATAAAAATGCATAAAAACATAACCTCACTTCATCGTTGCGAATGCTTTCGATCCGCTCGCAAGAAAACGCACAGAAATTTGCGAATACGCAATAATGCGAATGCTCAACAATTGGATTTCAGTGTTCATCGAGAAGTTGCAAACGATTCGCAAGGAAACGAATGGCCAAGAATTGCCCCCCAGGCCTTTACGAATTGATTTTTAAAAAGGACCCTGTGGGATATAAACAATCAGACCTGGACAATTATATGGATATTTTAAATCGATCGAATGCTTACCGAAGACACTTTAATCCACAAGAACAAATCCAAGGATCGCAAAGTGAAAAGTATAGAACAATCATTAAGCCATATTTGATAAAGAAGGGAATATTAAAATCTACTACTACAATACTTCCAAAACTATTTTCAAAGCCGCCACCGCCAAATAGACCATTGCGTAGAACACAATCTCTTAAATACACTTCAAAAGGAGGAATNACTATTGGCCTGGTATGTTCCGCGATATCGTCAAGTACGTACGAAGTTGTATGCAGTGTCAGCGATACAAGCCTTCGCAGCAACCAACTGCGCAGAAAAGGCAACCGTCCGTCAACCGTCAACCATGGGACACCACAAGCGCCGAAGTTCAAGAAGTTACCGTTCCAGCATCAGGAGTTTCCCTAGAAGTACCGCCCACAAGAATTCTGGAAGACCAGCCAGAACCTGACATTGAACCAATCCGCCCGCCGCCACGATCACCGCTGGATTATCCCACCTATCTACCGGTAAAACGACACAGGTTATGTTGGAGATGTGGATATCCTGGCTATACCCGCCAAACCTGTACCCGGACTCGACGCTTATTTTGCTCCCGATGTGGTCAGTATGGCATAATGTCTAGAGACTGCCCATGCGAAAACCGCCCGCAGAATGTCACCAGCAGAAGCCGCCTGTCCGCAACGCCTCGACACCGATCCCGTTCACTTCCAGGACACCGTACCGCATCAAGAGAGGTGCAAGTTTATTTCCCCGATATTTTCCACCGACCAGAAACCACTTCCAAGAGCGTCCAATGTGATCTCCTGTATTGAGCCTGAAAATCCGAAACCAACCAGAACCATTTTTATGTTAATTTTCTATTTTTCAGGGATGTTTTGCTGTAAAGAATGTTAAATTTTGTTTAGTTTTGCATAGATGCTTGATTTTGATTTAGCTTGTCGTTAGTTCTTGTAAAAAGTGAACATGCCCCAAAATAAAGTTTTTTTAACCTGCGTGGGGTATGCGCTTTCTAAATTTAGGGATATATTTAGGAAAAAAAATAAAAATTTCATTTTTATTTTTTTTTTAGCGGAAGTAAGAGGGGGTGTAACGAAGTGATTTTCCAACACCCCACATTTGTGTTCTTTTTATTTTATTAATAAATATGAATTACCGCACTGTCATTATTTTTGGCATTTCAAACGCCGTCCGTCACCGCACAGCATCAAGCCGATGGCCTGAAAATTCACACCGCGTACGCCAGTCTTCGACCTGCCAGCGAAGGAAGCAGTCGTGCTGATCTCCAGCCTGCCGTCTAGCCAGCGATACGTCACCGCCTGAGTAAGAATTTTACAAGTCCCGCTTAGGCGAAGTACGCAGCCGCTACCGAAACCTCGCCAGGACTTAGGAATTAAGCCACCGTCAGAGAAACAGTTCACCACGAGGCATCGTAGAGTCCAGTCGAGCCGTCAGCCGTTTCAAGTAAGACCTACGTCACCATTAAGAAATTGGTAAGAATTTCACTAAGTCCTGCCTGAGGAAAACTGCGCAGCCGCCAGGATCCGCCATACGAATACAGCAAATAAGCTGCCGTCCGAGATTCAGGTCCTCACGAGCCACCGAAGCGACCAGTCGAGCCTGAGAACAACTCCAGCAAGCCGAGACGTCACCGCGGGAAGTAGGTAAAATTTTACAAGTCCAGCCTGACAGCACCGCGCAGCCGCCCGTTCCCAGACAAGGAACTTAGGAAAGAAGCTGAATTTGGAAATTCAGTTCCCTGCTAGCCGCCGTCGCAACCAGTCGAGCCGTTCCAGCACCAACTACGTCACCAATAGGAATTGGTGAGATTCTGCTAAGTCCAGCCTGGCAGAACCGCGCAGCCGCCAGAAACCACTCCATCTCCTGTCATCACCAGAGGCCGTCCAATCCGACCATCAAGGAAGTAAGTTAGGTTCCGCGCATCTCCAACGCGCAAGTCTCTTGAGGTGACAAGAGACCTGGCGAGGTATTTGCACTGCAGAATTAGTTCCGTTCTACCGCTCCTACAGTACAGACGTGTCGAGGGAAGGAAGTAAGTTAAAGGTTTAGGGAATATAGGTAAAAGACTTGGCTACTGTCCGGTTGTACTAATCATACTTTGTATTTCCAGGTATCAGTCCGTACGACTCCGTGGCTGGGTGCACTGTTGCAATAATCCGGTGTACTTAGCCCCGCTGCGCGTTCGGGTCATAGAGTGTCGCTCCCCCCTCCTATCCGCTCTATGAGTCGAAACGCAGGTCGTTCTTAATTATATTTCTTTTCAGATATCCGTCTAGCCGACTCCGTGGTTGGGTGCACTATTGCAATTATCCGGTGTACTTAGCTCCGCTGCGCGTTCAGGTAATAGGGTGTTGCTTCCCCCTCCTATCCGCTCTATGAGTTGAAACGCAGGTCGGCCCTAACCATATATTTCTCTTTCAGATTTGTCTGTACGACTTCGTGACTGGGTGCACTGTTGCAATCATCCGGTGTACTTAGCCCCGCTGCGCGTTCGGGTCATAGGGTGTTGCTTCCCCCCCTATCTGCTCTATGAGTCGAAACGCAGGTCGTCATTAACCATACTGTTCTTCGTCCGTCCGACTCCGTGGTTGGGTGCACTGTTGCCATTATCCGGTGTATTTGACCCTGCTGCGCGTTCAGGTCATAGGGTGTTGCTCCCCCCCCCCCTATCCGCTCTATGAGTTGAAACACAGGTCGGCGCTAATCATTTTTGTCTGATTCAGCCTGCCAGCGACATACCAGTGCCAAGGAAACCTGTTATTCTCTAATTGTATTTCTGTTTATTTTAGAGATAGTAGCCAAGCCTGTAGTGTATATATAGCTTTTAGCTCTTACTAGCTTTGTTGCTTCCTCACCCCGCCCCCTGGTATCTGCACGCCGTCATATTCACGCTTGTTTTACTAGTGCCGCTAATTCTGTATGCATTGCTTTCGTCAGGTCACCGTTTAACACCGCACCGTTATTTCACCATTCTTCGTAGTAACCCCCTGTATATAACCATAGCCATTTGCCACCGTTTAGCAATAGATGTAGAGTAACATAGTGTAAATAGGTAGAATTGGACTAAATAAATGTAAATATATACCAACTGTGTGACTTTTATTCCTGTGTGAAGTCTAACTTTCTCTCGACCCTCTGGACATACCGTGTCTTCACTGCAGCCGCCCGCGTAGTGGTGTTTCTGCACTTTAAACAGAAACTGGCGCCCGAGGAAACTACTGCCGCTCAGGCGTCATAGTGACGAACGACGAAAATACCGACCAAGCCCGTCACAAATTTGGCGCCCGAGCAGGGACCTAAAAGAGAGAGTTCGTGAAGATTTCGAGATTCCGACCGTTTCCGAACCGTTCCGAACCCGGCCGAAGACGTCAGAAGCCATCTGGACAACTCCCGAAGAAATTGGAGATCGAACCTAAGGATCAAGAGTGTTAGGACACGCGAAGCCTGCATTTTCGACCAGAAAGCCCGAACTCCGCCCGAACTTTTCCGAAAGTGCCCGAAGGGACCCGATCCGAACATATCCGTGTGGGGTATCGTTTTCATGGGAATTCCACCCCAGGAATCGATTGGTGACACTTGCAGTTTAATCCGATCAACCGTTTCGAAGATAGGTCTGCCGTAGCGAAGTGGGAAGCCGAAATCAAGGAAAACCAGAAGCAGCAAGCCGTTGGAATCCCAAGACACCGTCCAGACCATTTTTTACCGCCTTACCGGATTTTGCCCGGAACTCTTGGTGACTCCGGTCGAAATTTTTACCCGGCGTGTGACCCCTCGTGGAATAGTAACTTGGGGACGTAGAATCGATTGCCGTTGGTTTCACTGCGATCCGACGAACCGTTCTGGAGAACCGTTTACCAAACTCATAAATCTGAGTGAAATTTGGTGAAACCTAATTTCGGCGATCCCTGGCATTCCGGCCGACCATATATTAGAGACCGAACCCGCTACCCCGGATTTTACCCGGAATTTCGGAAAATCCGGTGTCAACCCGTACCTGGCTTGTGACCCCTCCTTTGGTAGTAAGTCGAANTCATAGTGTAAATAGGTAGAATTGGACTAAATAAATGTAAATATATACCAACTGTGTGACTTTTATTCCTGTGTGAAGTCTAACTCTCTCTCGACCCTCTGGACATACCGTGTCTTCACTGCAGCCGCCCGCGTAGTGGTGTTTCTGCACTTTAAACAGAAACTGGCGCCCGAGGAAACTACAGCCGCTCAGGCGTCATAGTGACGAACGACGAAAATACCAACCAAGCACGTCACAAGATAAAGGGTATTGAAAACAATGTATCGGGTATGTATACATTGGAGAATAAAAAAAATGAATACATTTTCCCGGTATCTGGAAAAATTGAATATGTAGATATTTTTCCAGCCGATTGTGACATAATTCTTAGTTTCGGGTCAGCCTTTAAGATGGAAAGCCTTATTGGACGCACTATAAATAAAGGAGATAAATTACTTTTCGATGCTGCAGGACACCCATCTTTATTTTCAGAAATAGTTTTACAGTGCCCTATAGCAAAGAATGTCTAGTATCAAAGAACAGGTTGTTAACGAAGTACATAAACCTGCAAGAAAAACATTCAGAAGAAGGCATGTTACCGTGAAGGAATTAAATGATTTGATACAAGCTGGTTTAGTGGAAATGATACCTTATGCAAATATTAATAAAGGTTTTAGATACATACTTGTTGTCATAAACGTATTTAGCAAGTTTGTTTGGGCGGAATCCGTTATGCGAAAAACTGCAAAAGATGTGACAATTGCCATGCGCAAAATTCTGCTGCGAATGAAAAATAAGCCACTAAATTGTCAAACGGATTTAGGAAGGGAGTTCTACAATGGTGATTTTAAAAAGCTGATGATCGAGTCTAAAATTAACCACTACAGCACTTAGTTCAGCTTAAAAGCAAGCGTAGTGGAACGGGTAAACCGTACTTTAAAAAACCTAATGTGGAAAAAGTTTAGTTTGCAAGGAACCTACAAATGGATATCGATTTTACAAGATGTTATAAATCAGTACAACTACACTCCACACAGAACGCTTGGTTTACCTCCCAGCAAAGTAAACACCAGAAATACCAAAGCAATTCTAGACACTGTTTATAACTAACTAAACTAACCCTAAAAGGGAGACTATGTACGGATCAGTAAATACAGAGAAGCCTTCTCTAAAGGGTATACACCAAACTGGTCCAATGAAATCTTTCGGATTGCCAAAGTGAATTTTAGTAATCCAACAACTTATCTCCTGGAAGATCAAAACAAAGAACAAATTCAAGGCGCATTTTATACTGAAGAGTTGCAAAAGACAAAACATCCAGATGTTTACTTAGTGGAAAAAGTATTGAAAAGGAAAGGAAACAAAGTGTTCGTTAAATTTCTCGAACTGAATAAATCACATAACCAATGGCTAAATAAAAATTTACTTATAACTTAATATATTTATAAATAAAATAATTACAAAAACAAATATTTTTATTAATTACAATTTATTTTATTATAGGGTTAATAATGTTTGATGTTAACTGAATTCTTCTATGGAAACGGTGTCTATCGACGGCAAAATTCTCCCAATACCTCATTCTCGCGACTCTGTGCTCTTCGGGCCACATGACTATAAAATGAATTTTATCAGGTTCATCACTAAATCTAACTTTTTTCATTATGCGGTGATTCTGAATATTCTCTCAATTTATTGTTCTTTTATACATTCACTTTTAAATACTTCGGGGTAAATATACATAAATTCCAGAACCATACAAATATTCTCACTATTGGGATTTCCTTGAGGTTGTAGCACTTTTAAAGCATTAATGATAACATCACCATCCATATTTTGTATTCCGGCTCTTATAATCTTGAAGTAACTTGTAAAATGTTGGTTTTTTTAACAAATCCAATCTATAATTAATAAGCGGTAGAAAGCACCATAAGGTGCATATCGTATCATAGGATAGATACACTGATATATTATCCCTCCCAATCTTAACCACATTTGAATAGAGTAGCTGCTTAAACTCCAGAGAAAAAAATCCTCCATTTATCGGCTCCATATTTTCTCCGGTATATAAATAATTTGTTATTATTCCTTGGTAAGATAAAAACTCTTTCCATTCTTTTTCATTATAGATAACCCAATCATTTTTGTTACCAAATATTTTAATAATCGGAATAAATTCAATATCGTATAGGAAACCTACAGACACGAACTTACACTTTGACTTATTCAAGCTATATTTTCTTTCACCTAGAATAACACGTCCTGGTGTACATTTATCATTTTGTTCACTTTGGCTCTCAGAATACATTTTCAAAAGTGATTTTGTTAGCAGTCATCACTGACTTTATTTGTTTTCCTCCTACCACACATATCACGTGATTGTTTGTCTGACTTATTTCGATAAGCTTGTAGACTATTTTTAGAAATTCTGTGGCAACCAACGTGGCTATTTTTAGAAGTGATGTAATGTTCTATTTTTAGAAATGATGTCATCGACAGATGTGCGTTTTATTTTTAGGAATGATGTAATATTCTATTTTTAGAAATGATGTCATCGACATCTGGCATATTGAGGTCAAGGTCATGACCTTCACATTTCACATTTATTTGCGCTCTCATTATATCACTACTTCTATCGAATGCCGTCTGGTGATTTTAAAAAAACATCATGGCGGTTTCAATATGGCGTCCGCAATCATGAAAAAATCTGTTTAATGAGAAATATTGATAGATAAGAAACATAAAAATACTGTGTTGTAGACTGAATCACCATATCAATACGTTTTTGGGGTTGCTGATTTCGAATTCAATATTTGTTAAACCCCATCTGGTCACTGTTCGCCGCTAACCTTAAAAATACTTCAAATCGTTGGAATAATACGTTTCTACGATGAGTAACACAGTCTAACCACCACAATTTACGTTTTCGGGATCGCTGAAACCAATTCTGATATCAATATAACTTCAACTAGTCAGAGTTCGTGTCTAACCTCAAAAAAGTATCGCAAATTGCTAAAATTACACTTTTCTACGTTTAGGAATGAAGTGTAACCAACATTTCTTTATATTTTTGGGGTCATTGAATCGAATTCCTACATCCGTTTGAACCCAACTAGTCACTAGTACCTAACCTCAAAAGCTATAATAGTTATAAAGTGCGACCACCATATTTTTATGTTTTTTTGGGGATTGCTGGGTCCAATTCCGATATCTGTATAACATTAACTGGTTAGGTTAGGTTAAGTTAGGTTTGGTTAGGTTAGGTTATTACCTATGAATATCTATACTCGGTTTTCGACAAAGTACTATAAGTATATTAAATTTAACTGCCAAAACTAATACACTGTAAATCCGAAACCAAAGAACTCCAAACGAGCATGTGATATGATGAAAGGTGTGTTCCATATAAAAAGAACAAATCCTTTTTCTGCATATTATACTAAAGAAAAGGTAATACAGACTTTATGTCTTAGCCATGATAACGGCCTCAACCCGACTGATTAAACACAAAAAGCATATTGTTTAACCTGTTGAATTTAAAAATATCGAAAGTACTGAAAGGACGGGATAATTCTTATGTAAGCCTTAATCGATTCGGCAAATACTATATCGAAATTTGTTTCAGTATGTGGATTCAGTCAACAAACTCAGAAATTAAAATGATTTGATCAAAACCCTAATCAAAGTGTCAGCGCCCAGAGACTTTTTGAAAGATAGTAGCGTTTGAGTGATGCNTTATGTAAGCCTTAATCGATTCGGCAAATACTATATCGAAATTTGTTTCAGTATGTGGATTCAGTCAACAAACTCAGAAATTAAAATGATTTGATCAAAACCCTAATCAAAGTGTCAGCGCCCAGAGACTTTTTGAAAGATAGTAGCGTTTGAGTGATGCCGTCCAATATTTCGTGTTTTTTATGTGTATCTTCAAGCGCCATATTGGAACTACCACGAGAGGGTTAGAGAAGTGATACGGCTTGGGGATAACTTTTGTAAATAACAGATCAATCGGATATAATAATAATGTAATAGATTATAAGCGATTTTAGTGATATTGTGATCAGACTTTATAACTCGACAAGAAAAAGTGTAATTTTAGTGATTTGGAATATTTTTTGAGGTAAGGTACAACTAGTGACTAATTGGGTTCAAACGGATGTAGGAATTCGATTCAGTGACCCCATAAATATAAAGATATGTTGGTTACACTTCATTCCTAAACGTAGAAAAGTGTAATCTTAGCAATGTGCGCTACTTTTTTGAGGTTAGGCACGAACTCTGATTAGTTGAAGTTATATTGATATCAGAATTGGTTTCAGCGACACCGAAAACATAAATTGTGGTGGTTAGACTGTGTTTACTCATCGTAGAAACGTATTATTCCAACGATTTGAAGTATTTTTAAGGTTAGTGACGAACAGTGACCAGATGGGGTTTAACGAATATTGAATTCGAAATCAGCAACCCCAAAAACATATAGATATGGTGATTCAGTCCACAATTTTTATGTTTCTTATCTATCAATATTGCTCATTAAACATAATTTTCCATGATTGCGGACGCCATATTGGAACCGCCATGATGTTTTTTTAAAATCACCAGGCGGCTTTCGATAGAGTTTTTAAATACGAAGTTTTTGACACGTCGAACGTCAATATTGATGCATTTTTATTCTGGGCAGCCCACTGTGACGTTGACGTAAAACGCCCGATATATATATATACAGGGTGGGCCACCAGTAACGCCTCGGTCGCTAGGGACCAAACGGCAAATGTTACAGAAACTTGTTTAGGTGGGTATGTGTAGTTTGATTACGGCTACATTTTAAAAATATTTTTAAATATACAGGGTGTCCAGGAAAAGCGTACCATATGTATATTATGTATTTTTAAATGGAACACCCTGTATTTTACTGCATTTTTGAAAGCACCGTAAAAAAATAGGTGAACTTTATTAAAGGCTCTGCATACCTGGGACTTACAGTTTGTGAGATATTTAAATTTTAGTGAAAATGCAGGCTTTGCGTAGAAATTTATTATTAGCAATAAAAAATAATTTTTAAGGAAGCAGCTATTTTAGATCCTTGAAGTTATAAATTGTAATATTTGTAGTCACTTAGTATTATACAGGGTGTTTAAAAATACATAACTTTGATATGGTACGCTTTTCCTGGTATATTTCAAAATATTTTTAAAATGTAGCCGTAATCAACCTACACATACCCACCTAAACAGGTTTCTGTAACATTTGCCATTTGGTCCCTAACGACCGGGGCGTTACTGGTGGCCCACCCTGTATATGTATACTCATATATNCTAGAGGGTGCATAGTGAAATCAGAAGTGATCAAGGAGAAAAGAAAAAGAAGTTTAGTGCATCGGACAGTATTAACAAAAGGTAAACTAACTAAAATTTATCTAGACCTGAGTGAAATTTAGTATGGAATATTCGTATTCTGAACATTGTTGTTTAAGTTGAGTTTTAGTATAAGGACTGGCGTAGGAAAAATATAATTTTATTTAAATTGTATAAAAAAAATCAATTTAAATTTAATATGATTTCATTCAGAGATATTTTCTTCTAAAGAACCACCCTTAGAGATAATAAAATAAATTTTTGTTTACATTCTATAGAAAAATTTTATTTTCAAATTTATTTTGTTTTGAAGAAATTTAATTTCAAAAGTAACTATATATTCATATTAACCAAAATTATATTCAAGAATAATTTTTTGTGACAAAGAAAAATATAAATTTCAGTGAGACTAATATCTACTTTCTTAAGCACTTGAAGGTAAGTAGATATTCCCATTTTGACAAGTTGAGGTATCCAAAGGTACCTAAACATAATTATATACACAAATTAAATTACACGACTAATAAAAATAATAATAAT